GGGCGGGCGGTGCTCGCCGGGGCCGAGAACCCGCCGCCGCCGCGCGAGTGACCAGCCCACTGGGCGGGGTGGGGAACTGCCCTAACCTCGGCGGCTGCCTCAGTCCGCAGCTCCAACCCCAGCCCCAGCCCTCGCGGGCAGAGATCAGTGGCGGGGCTGAGGGAGTGGGGCTGCGATACAGGAAGTGGCTGTGGGGGTTGAAACCGTGGAATGAGAGAGAAAATGGGCGAGTGAACCGGGAGCCCGCCGCCGCCGGCGCCCCCCTGCCGCCCACCCCCCTGCGGGCTCGGCCCCCCGGGTCGCACTGCCCCCCTGCAGCCTTCCGTTGGTCGGGCTGCTGTCCGGGGGACGCGGCTGCCGCCCCGCGGCTTCTCCACCCGGAGAAGGGTCTAGGACTGGCGGAGGAAAGGGCAGGGACGAGGCGCTGGGAGGAGCAGCTGGAGGAGAGGAAAAGCGGGGTGGGGGCGATTATGTCAGTTCAACCCAGAGGGTGTGTCTTTTATTTATTTATTTTTTAAAAATTTGTCATGAGTCACAGTACACAGACCTCCCCAAGGAGAGGAGGAAGCGGTAGGGAGTGAGGGAGGGCGTAGAAGAGAAGTTAATCTTAAAATTCTTTTAATTGACGGCTTGTAAATCTGCCTGCCTGTTCATTTTCACGTCGGACCCCCCCCACCCCCGTCATTTTCACTTCCGCCCCCACTATAATGTTGGTAGAAATTATTTGGGCTATCGTTGTTATCAAACAATTGTTCTCGGCTACTTGGAAAAACTGTCTTGAATACTCTCTCTTACCCAAAAGTTCTTGAAGTGTTAGCTTCATAAGTAACTTAAAAATAGAATGGTGTAATCACCGGTTGCTTATTTTCTGAGGTTTCTCTCCAACCTAAGTAATTGTATAGAACTCGAACCCAGCGAGATTACAGAACGTATTTAGTCTCAGAACTAGAACGCAAAATGTTTACTGTAAATTTATTAGATAATGCTCGGAGCTGTATCTATGACAGATTCTTGCTTGTTTTTGTTTTAATTGAAAGTGAATTATGTTGTGGTAGTTGGTTTGTACCTCTTTAGCCGCATAAGCCAACAGTTTGCTATAGAAGCAATTAAAGTAGCAGAGTCCTTTGTATCACTGTAATGGCATCGCAAACTCCCTTGCCAGTGTAAGCATGGCCAAAAGGTGCTGTGAGAGGTTCAGAGTATTGCAGTGTAGAAGTATTTATAGCGATGCCTCCCATGTGATTATCATTTTTAAGAAGCAATAGTTTCTGTGTTGGCAAATGCTTTTCCTCGTTATTTTTAGAAGGGGATACTGTCTTCGGAATGTTTCAAATATTTCTCAATTTCCATATTAGTAACATTGTGTCTTCAGTAGCACTACTAAGAATTTATCTCATACAGTTCTTTTCAATCTTTTACTTTAGGAATTCTACTGATAAACTTGTTGAGTTGAACGCCTGCCTTATCTACGGTATTATTTGTTTCTGCAAACTTTGTATATGAACCTTTTAAAAAATGATATATATATATATTAGAGTATTGATATTAAAAATGTTTATTCAAGTTAATATGAAAAGCTTTACATTGAGATGAATCTCAGTTTGCTGAAGGTTTTAAAGATTTTGAAAGTTAGGGAGAGCACAGGAAGTTAAATTTAAATTGTCCCCATTCTAAAAAGTCATTAGTTTGTAGACAGATAAGTAAGTCTTAAAGAAGTGACTTCTTTTTGTTTTACCTGTTGGGAAATCTAACAAATATATGGTGTGGTAACTGCTACGTGTTGGCAAATGCAAACATGTTTTAACCTGTCTGTTGACTATTTCTTTTTCAGGTAGTTGGTTGCTGTAAGGTTTTTTTCCCTCCTTGACCCCTTTCATTTTCTTCCCCTCTTCCCCCAGTCATGTACCTTTGAAGCACTTTTAATCATTAGTAATATTCCTAATTCTAGCGCTATTTATGTGGTCTCTTACTTTAAAAATGCTAGTACCATGGTGCCAAGATCCACAGTTTTAGTGGGCCAGTTTTTTTGGTGGCCCTAAACTTGATTCCATTGAGTATTCTGATCATACCTGGGGGTCTTGGAGTGGGAGTGGTAGATGAAATTCACACATAGCAATGTTTATCTAGTAGTCTTTAAACTTTGGGCTTCATTATGCAAGCGACTAGCTGCTTTTTGAAGATGTACAGATAGGGTCAGTGCTCAGACAGGCACAGAATATGGTGAAGACTGTGGAAGGTGACAGAGTAGCTGACTTTGTGCTGTGCTGCCAACTTTGATGCTACACATACAAATAATAACCATTTAATGTCTTTTGAGATTTTCCCCTATTCTGTCTGTGAATCTTACTGAGTTATAACCAACACTCTACATACTTTCTCAGGGAAAGTAAGTGACTACTTGTGTTTTGATAATTTTTTTAAAGATGTATTTTATTTATGTATAAGAAGGTAGGTGTAGGCCAGAGGTGTATGTGTGTGGGTGTGGTGGCGAAAGGATTCACCAAAGCCAGACTGGGGAGGAGAACAGGGGATCTGCTGAAATACACTGCTAAGGGGAAGCAGCTGGAGAGACAGGACTGCTGTGCCATGTGGGTCAGCTCCCTGGCTGGAGTTTGATCAAAGGCTTGTTGCAGTGGCTGCTGATAGCTTTATAGTGCCGAGACTTAACCCCTTATGCCATCAGGGAGGCCCTTGTGATAATTTTTTATACCTAAGGTGAATTAAATTATTACCAGGGTGATTTTTGAGAATTCAGTTTTCCTAGAGTTTGGAATTACAGTCTAGTTCAGCTGTATCAGCTGACAGGTTTTTTTTGACTATAATGCAGTTAAGTGCTCGAGTACTTACTAGCTCTTTGGGTCCTAATGACTTTATTAAATTGTATTACTAATAGCAAAACTTCTCAAAAGAGTATTCTGCCTTGAAAGGGATTTTGAACTTGTTATGGGGAAGTAAAATTCAAAGTAGACGGCTTTTGTCCCATTCCCCCCCCCACATCCACACATTCATTTAGACATAGAAATCTACCTTTTTCCATCTTTAGTTTGATTTTTTTCTGTGGCTTATTTCAAAACATCACTCCTCAGCTTGAACCTACTCATTCATCTGACCAGTTCTCTTTCTTCTCATCTAATGTCCTTGCTGCCTTTGTCTTTGGAAACTATTATGGGAAGGAGAAAGGGTAGCTGAATGAAAAGTGGTAGAAGCTGCTTCAGATTTCCCAGCATTCAGATTGCTAGGCTGACTAAGGACAGAAAAGTCTTCCATATATTATAGCTTAATTTTTTAATTTAATTCAGTTTTTTTTTTTTTTTTTTGCCTGGAACTCTTATCAACAGAAGCTTCATATGAATGAACATGTACAGTCTAACTGGGAATATAAAGATAATGTCATTAGTGGGCTACTTAATTGAGCTTGCTTTCTTCATCCCAGGCTTATTTTTTGCTCATTTGATTATTATGTCCTTTTGACATGGAGAAGGTAATTTTTGAGCAAGAACACTTCGGAGTAGGCATAAGTAGGTAACATTTCTGGCACTGCACAATTTATCCCAATTGATAAACTGTCACTTAATTTTTATGAAAAGTGGATGCCTTTTCTTCTTTAACAGATTAGTAATCTGAGGTTCAGAGATATTAAATACGTAGCGTAATAGCATTCCATATCTAATTTTCAGTAGTGTTTGAAATCAAACCTAAGATTTTCTGGTTCCATATCCTAAGATCTGAATACCAGATAGGGTATATATTGCAACACAGGGAATGAAAAGAATGTGCAAAGAGGGTAGTAGAAAAGGAAAGAGGGTAATACAGCTTTCATTTATTGAGCACCTATTCTCATAGACTTTGCTGGTTGTCTTCTATTATCTTTTATCAGATCATAGCTCAAAGCAGTTAAGTGAATTTTGATCATGCAGTTAGGAATTGGAAGTTGGGATTTCTGACTTCCATAGACTCCACAGGCTATATTCTTTTCATATGTAGGAGTCTAGAATTCTGCTCTCTCCTGACACAAATGCATCTAGAACTCAGATTCTTGTTGAGCATGTCTAGGAATCTAAGCAGCTTTTTCTTTTTATCAATTTCTTCTGAGATGTAGGTTGTAAACATAAAAGCCAGATGTTTGTAATTTGGGGACTTAACTGGGTTGCCAAAAGACCAGCGTTTTGACACTTGAAGTGTTTTTTTTTTAAATTTTTTTGCATATCATATTTTATTTTAATTTCTTATGCTGAAAGCTTTTTCTTAGTTCAGTGCCCTTAGTTTACATTATTATTTGTATAATAGAAGTACAGAATCTCCCCCCTCAGATGATGTTATCACACAATGCCCACCAAAAGGCACCCTTAGTCATATTTTAATCTATCTAAAATTAAAAATTTAAATAAGATCTATTCAGAGAAGTTAAATTTTCAACTTTGTAACCTACAAACTATTCCCGCATGTGGAAGGGTTTATTATGGGAATCACAAGCTAGTTTTTCACTGAGTTCAGTGGATCCTTTTTCTTTCTTTGCATCACTTTCCTGTTTCATTCTGATTCAACTGGCAGTTATAAGAAGATTTGTAGAATAAATTTAAATTAACAGAACAAAATGCCTTGAAATATTTTGGGTAGTTTTGATAGTTCCACAAACTAGATTCAGGTAAAGATGGTCATAGTAATTGAGAAGATCAGATGGATTGGAAGTGGTATAGAATCCTTGGAATGACACTGAAGTTTCAGTAATGCAAATTGGAAATCTGAATGAGTTAGTGTTTCAATAATTAAAATTGTGATTACAATTAAAAATATTGTATTACATATTTAAAATTTTCAGAGTAAATTTTAGAAGTTCTCACAAGGGAAAAAAAGTTGTAACTGGTGATAGATGTTAACTAGACATTGTGGTG